GGATACATGCACCTGTCTTCAGTTTACACAGACTGCAGATGAGAGACCAGCGACTGGGGGGGATGTGGGAGACCTTTGTGATGGGCTCCATTCGCTCAGGACAAGCGATGCTCACCTAAACAACAAGACACATTTACAGACACAGGTCAGACGTACAATCAGTTTTTGTCAAAACTGTTAATGTTTAATAATAATGTTGTTTTGAGAAACAACTAGTGCTGCATGATTAGATGGCAACATCAATTCTAAAGATTAGTCCACACAGGATTCTGGTGTCAATGTGTTGTATTATTTGACCACATAAATGTTTATTTGTAAATGATGAAGAATCAAAAAGAAGGTATGAACTGACAGAGGGTTAGAGTAGAGGCAAAAAACTGACTTGAAGCCTATAGAATCAGTCCTCCTCTTCCTCCTCCTCCAGACCTCCCTCTCCCCAGACACTTGGACCAGCTCTGGGGGAATCCCAAGGTGTTCCCAGGCCAGCCGAGAAACAGTCACTCCGCTTCCTCTGGGTCTCCTCCCAGTGGGATGTGTCCGGAACACCTCACCATGGAAGGGTCCAGGAGGCATCCTAACCAGATGAACCACCTCAACTGGCTCCTRTCGACGTGGAGGAGCAGCGGCTCTACTCTGAGTCCCTCCTGGATGACCGAGCTTCTCACCCTATCTCTAAGGTAGAACCCAGACAGCCTGCGGAGGAAACTCATTTCGGCTGCTTGTATCCTCGATCTCGTTCTTTCGGTCACTACCCAAAGCTCGTGACCATAGATGAGAGTAGGAACATAGACCAACTGGTAAACCGAGAGCTTCGACTTCTGGCTCAACTCTCTCTTCACCACAACAGACCGGTACAGCGCTCGCATCACTGCAGACACAGCACCAATCCGCCTGTCGATCTCCCGCTCCGTTCTTCCCTCATTCGTGAACAAGACCCTGAGATGCTTAAACTCCTCCACTTGGGGCAGGACCTCCTCCCCGACCCGGAGAAGGCACCCTACCCTTTTCCGGCTCAAGACCATGGTCTCAGATTTGGAAGCACTGATCCTAATTCCAGCCGCTTCACGCTCGGCTGTGAACCGCTCCGGTGAGAGCTGGAGATCAGGATCTGATGAAGCAATAGGACCACATCAACCTCAAAAAGCAGAGATGCAATCCTAAGGTCAACAAAAAGGATCCCCTCAACACCTTGGCTGCACCTAGATATTCTGTCCACTAAAGTTATGAACAGAATCGGTGACAAAGGGCAACCTTTTTGGGGTCCAACTCTCACTGGAAACGAGTCCGACTTACTACCAGCATGGCGGACCAAACTCCTGGTACCCCATACTCCAGGAGTAGTCTCACACAGACACTGCACAGACACTGCGCACACACACACACACACACACACACACACACACACACACACACACACACACACACACACACACACACACACACACACACACACACAGCAGTCACAGTGTGTGTGGATGTAACTGTGTTCAACCGAGGGACACAGTTGAACGCCTTCTCCAAGTCCACAAAACACATGTAGACTGGTTGAGTGAACTCCCATGCACCCTCCAGGACCCTGCTGAGGGTGTAGAGCTGGTCCAGTGTTCCACGACCAGGACAAAAACCACACTGCTCTTCCCGAATCTGAGATTTGACTAGCTGACGGACCCTCCTCTCCAGGACCCCTGAATAGACCTTACCATAATAATAAACTCTTTTTAACCCCTAAAGGCCATAGGGGTATTATTTTTTGTTTGGTTTAGTATGTTTGTTTTACTAGTGCATTATTCCACATATTTTTTTAAATAAGAAACAAATTAACAATTTATTGAAAGTTTTTGAGAACCTCCAAGATACAGCATGCAGACCCCTGGGGGGTCCTGGGACCCCGAGTTTGAGAACCGCTGCTGTAAATCCTAATCAAATCAGATTGTGAGGTGTGTGAAGTGAGGGATGAGCTGCAGGTGGTGTACCTCTGGGATCCACAGGGCGCAGCTTACGTGAGCCCACTTGGTTCCGGCACGCGTTGCCTTCATAGCTCCGCCCTTCTTTGGACACAGAAGACACTGTGGGTCGAGGCTGAGGACACACGTCCTACAGAGCCAGTTCCCAATAGGCACTTTGACGATGCCGTAGCAAGCCTGGGAGGAGAGGGCAGCTCTGACGTCACTCTGATCATTTATGGAGAKATGTCAGGGCTTGAACCAGAGCCATTCTATCGAGCTACCTGATGGACGCAGATGTTGCACTTGTCACAGAACACCATGTCATTTCCCTCTTCGCTGTCCGGGGAACGGCACACGTCACAGATGACGTCCTCGTCGTATTCGATGCCCAGGCCTTCCACGGTCTCGATGGCATGCTTCATGTTGTCGTGGCACTGCCTCTCCAGGGCCTCCATGGCTCGCTCCATCGTCAGCTCATCTACAGGCGCCTCTCCTGGAACATGAGGGGAGACGACAAACAGTCAGTCAAGCAGTCAGCAAAAGGTGGGCAAAGTTTCTGTTCATGTCTGCGTTAAGTTGAAAAGACAATCATTGGATATAAATCACTAATTGTGTGAAAGCTTCACAGCATTCACACTGATGAGATCATTTTTTCTTCTGTACGTTTTTTGGCATCTAACTCGTTGCGGTTTTTGCACTACTTCAATAATTCATATTTCAAAAACATTCAGCTCAATCTTGCCTAGGATGCTATGACTTTTGGTGTTTCAGCTATTTATACTTTTTCAGCTACCGTATTTCAAATTTTTGCCATTGAAAATGAATGGTGCTGTTTTCATCCTTTAAAATGTTTCTAAACCTTACACATTTTGTTCTGGTCATGCTTTTTTTRCCCACTGTATTGTGTTAATTTTAGCCACTTTTTTTGCTCATTTTAGCTTTTTTCTGCTATTTTGGCTAAAATTATTCTTTCTGCTATTCTTCTGCTTTTTTCTGCCATTTATGCTTCTTACAGATGATTTTTGCTATATTCAACTATTTGCTGCAATTTCAGCTAAAGTTAGCCATTTTAAGCTAAATACAATTGTTTTTGTAGCTATTACAACTTACTTGTGCTAAGTTCAGCAAACTTGTGCTCCTTACGCTTCTTTATGCTGATTAATGAATTTTCAGCTACATTTAAGCTAATTTACTTAAAATTTTAGATGTTTTAGATATTTACTAAAAACTGTCCCTTTTTAGTACTTTTATGCTTTTCTCTGCAATTTGTAAATTTTTATAGCATTTTTAGCATCTGGGTGCCAATTACAACTTCTGTCTGCTACCCTTAGCTTATTTATGCTAATTTTAGCTTTTTTGTTCTATTGTAGCTACAGTTCTGCTTCTTTCTGCTATTTCATTTTTTTCTTTTGTTTTATTTTTTCTGCTAATTTGTGCTATTTATACTTCTTACATGTTTTCTGCCAAATTCAGCTATTTGCTGCAAATGTAGCTAATGTTCAGCTGTTATTAGCTAGTTAGCTTTTTTAAACTAAATACAACTTAAAGGGGACCTGATATGCAAAATTCACTTTTTAAAGGGTTTTTTACTCAGCTTTGGTTATGTATCTCTTAAAAAAACAGTCCTATGACCAAACAAATGCACACAGGGTCTCCAACCAGTAGCTCGCGAGTTCGTGTGAAGTAGCTCGCTTCAAAAGGAAAAAAAGAAAAAAAACAAAACAAAAAAACAGCAACTTGCTTCACAACCCGAAGCAGCGATTTATATAGTCAAACAGCCAAAAACTCATGAACTGAGATAAAACAGGCATTGTGCACGGAGGAATCTAACTGATAAAAATTTTGGAGCTTTATCRGGGACAGATTTGTGGATAAATAAGGGTGACGGGTCTCTGATTCACATTGAAGACTACACAGRGGGAGCAACGCAAGAGGAAACCCCCTGTAGTGACGTATGCTGCAGCGGGAGGGTATTTCCCAGGAGCTCAACACAGGAGTCTGGGCTGTAAAGGTGTGTGTGAAAATAAAACGATGAAAAACCACGTGTGAACTTCTGACCATTTGGACAATAGCGTGCCGAAAATTAAATCAAATGATGCAATGTTTGTCATAAAACCGCGACACTCTGATTACGGCAGTTGAGTAGCAGGAGCATTCCACACGCAGTGGGTCTTCAAGCTACGTGAGATGAACAGCAACCATGACTGCGGCAATTAGCAAGAAGAGACAAAAAAAACATACCATTTTCACAAGGAGTGGGAAAAGAGAGTTTTCTTCTCACAAATGTTTCAGACAAATGTGTGCGTAATCTGCGGAGCAAGTGTGTCAGTCAGGAAAAGYTGTAACTTGGAGCGCCATTTTACCAAAGTACACAGCAACTTTTCACAGGACTTACCTGCAGGTAGCAACCTTTGAAAAGACAAGGTAAAGGAGCTAAATACATTGCTTCAAAGACAACAGTTCCTGTTCACCCAAACCACAAAGGCCAGCAACGCAGCAACAGAAGCTTCTTTCAGAGTGGCGCACATCTTAACAAAGCACAAAAAACATTCTCTGATGGCGCYATTGTGAAGGAGAGTTTGACTGCGGTGGCTGAAACTCTGTTCCGGGACCACAGATGTAAGACAGATATAATCTCTTCTATTGCTCATTTGCAACTTGGTGCCAATACCGTAGCAAGGAGGGTATCTGCGTTGTCCGCAGATGCAGTAAAACAGCTGGAATCAGATCTGGACAGGTGCGAGTGGTTTTCAATTCAGTGTGATGAGTCTCTCGATGCGAGCAATACACCCCAGCTGGCTGTTTTTATTCGGATGGTGTTTAGAGACTTTTCCATCAAAGYAYAGTTTTTAACTTTACTCCCACTAAAAACAACAACCAGGGGAGTTGATATGTACACTGCTGTGAAAGACTTCTTCGTTGCAAAAAAGGTCCCGGTTGAAAAGCTGGTGTCTGTGACAACAYATGGAGTGCCCGCTATGACAGGACGTCACTCAGGATTTATTGCGCWCTGTAGAGCAGAACCAGACTTCCCAAGTTCCTGAACTATCATTGCATCATTCACCAGCAGGCTATACTGTATGTGCAAAAGTTTTGGGATTTGATCACGTCATGGGGCCTGCAACTCCATTCGAGCAAAGGCAAAACAGCACCGGAGCTTCAAGGTGTTCCTGGAGGAATGCACAGCAGAGCARGGGGACCTGCTCCTCCACACTGATATCAGACGGCTGAGCCGGAAATAAGATACTGCAGCACTTTTTTTCTTTGCTGGGTGAAATAAAGGCTTTTATGGAAACGAGAAGAGGATACAGCCCTGTTAACTGATTGACTATTTGACCTTGCTTTCCTGACAGATGTAACTGAGAAAATTAACCAACTGAACCTGCTGCTACGAGGAAAAGATAAAAACATATCAGGTATGATCAGTGCTACGCATTTAGTGCTAAACTGACATTATACATTCAGCAAGTGAAAAACAAAAGGTTTCAGCACTTTCCCTCCATGTCCAGGGGTCGACATAACCATTGTTTAGGTTGTCAGAGACAACCTATTTTCGTTTCGGACAACCAGATCCCACCTCCAAGTTATCCGGTGGACAACCAAGAAAAAAGCAGCGGGTGTTCGTCATTGTAAAAATGAACGGGAGAAAAAAAAAAAAACTTGTTAAAGCCATCTAGGGATTAAACTGACGGTTCTTTCACCCAATAAAGAGAACCAGTGTCAAAGTTTTAGCCAATCAGAACAGAGAAGGGCGGGTCATGCTGTCTGACTGACACCGCTGCCTTTTTTTTTTTTTTACTGTGGGTGGGGGGGTCAGCTTCACTCAGTCCAGGAA